AAGTCCCAAAAGAAAATAAGATGGTAAAAACAACAATAGAAAAATAATAAAACACAAAGAAAATGCCAGATATTTACAGCCTCCATCTGAAATACAACTTGTGTTCTACTTGCGGCTTAAAACAAAGCCAGCCAGCATTTCTGATGGGTATCACTGATGCAGCTGACACCAACCCCTCTGGGGGCAGGTTTCATTCCAGGAAGGCAGACACACACGCAGTTAGCAACCTGCTGGGGTTACAACCATGTCTTCTTGATCTTCCTGCAGTTCTGTTATTAAAAATGACATAACGCAAATGATCCGATGTGGTCTTACAGAAATGACTTCATCACCACTTTTGAGAACAAATGACTCAGAGTCACAGGCACTGGGTCGGGGAGAGCAGATGTAGATGACCACGCACTCAGGTGAGGTGTCTATCTTTGTGAGGTCGGATAAGGGAAGCAGGGCTCTATAACCTGGAAGCTTCTGTACTAATGAGTCTTCTAATAGTCCTGAAGAGAAAAAACAAAAGGCCCAACTTACTCTCAGCAGAACATTGGTTTGAACCTAAGGGGGGGAAAAAAAATCTCATAAGTAATTCTATATAAGATTGTTCTATAGCTAAAGATTGTATATCACAGGTAATGTACTAAACTTCACATCTGAAAATGGCCTGTCTTCTGAGTCCTCAAAAGGAACAAAACACGTCAATTCTGCCCTTGGTAGACCACCTGAGCTCACCAGTCAAAGAAGGCCAGTGTTTACTGTTTATTGTTTCATCAAAGGGAATTTTTCCTCAGTAAAAATGTGTGACCACTTCCTCTTTCCAAAACAGAAAAAGCAAATAACACCTAACATAACATCCAAAAGTTAAAGTCTGTCCAGATGGGCACTGCAGACTTTAAACCTGGAGTCGTGACCCCAGTTTAGGAACGAACGCTCAACTTCTGAAGACTGGAATGAATTTTTATAATCAGCTACAAAATTGCCAGCCTCTCTGAAATGGCCTGGCTGATACTTACAGCTCGTGGTTTTTTGTTTAACTTCAGATCAATCCTGTGATAGGAAAGATAAAAGATATTTGCATTTTAATTTAGAGAAAAATGGTCCAAGAGTCAGCTACTGCATAGGGCACAAGCTATAACAAAGACTATTTGGTTAAGTCCACATTCTTCATCAGACTATGCCATATTTAGTTGTTTACCCAGGTGTTATTAAGCAAGTTATCAGTGTAAAAATAGGAGCAGATATTCCTGCTGCAAGGCAAACTGAGATGACTCAGAAAGAAATATACTGTAGATATGAGAGTCATATGCTTTCAAAACCTTATTCCTAAACTACACGTTAAAGAGATTGGATTAGGAGGGCATGCTCGACATTACTGTTAGTTGATACTCATTATAACTACAGGACCAATCATTATTGAGACACATGGTGATTAAGATCAGGAAAGAGACTAGGAGTTTGCATTTCTGGATGAGAAACGCAAAAGAAAAGAAATGAATTTCAATTTTTAAATCTTTCCAAAATGTCAAAATCTTAAAACTATTCATCTCCTTAAGAAGCAAAGCCAGAAAATCAATTTAAATATGAATCAAAAGTAAAGATTGTCTATTTAAAGAGAAATTTAAAATGCAAAAAAGTGAAGTTTACTTAATTTTGCTTAAGTTATTAAATAAAATGTTACCTCCATCACGTTTTTCTGTTTTTAAAAAAAACTTCCCAGCCTAACCTAATATACATACCTACAATTAAACAGATAAACTATGGGTTAGAAAGGTCTCAAATAGGTATATGGAGTCTACACACTAAACAACACAGCACAAATACTAATTCAAAGCAAACTTACTCAAAGTCATAATCAAACATGCCAGACGGGCTGAGGGGCAGCATTTGAAAGGAAGAAAGTAATAGAAATTAATATACTAATTGAATAAATTAGTCGATTAGCTACCCTAGCAAGATTTGTAGAAACAAAACGAGCTTTCAGAATCTGAAGCCATAAAGTGTCACATATCAAAGCACCAAAGATTTTGTGGCCAGGAGGTCCCCTTTCCTCAGTGGTTTCCGTATCAGAAGAATAGACTATGAAAGGAAAAGTTATCTCATTAGAAAACTACAGACACCTGCAGTCCTTTTATTAGCTTCCAGACTAAGAGTTAGACCTTGCAAAATATTTCATTGTAATGAAAGTAGATACACAATTAGGGCATTGGAAGAAACAAAGAAAGAAGGGCTCATTAGTCATTCAATGAAAGTGCTTTGAAGACAGTATTTACTATGCAGCACAATACCAGGGAACTTCAAAAAAGCTCATGGAAAAATACTTTTCAATAAAATTTAAGATGACAACATTCTAAACTTGGGAAAAAGAAAACATTTTGCAACATTTTACTCAAGTTACTGTTTCTACAGGGAGGACTTTGCTCTTTTTCTACACCACTCATCCTAGAAGTCAAGAGTTGAATAAAACTCGTTGGCAGTCTTGCTCCAGAGAGCTACATTAATTACACTAGCCGCTGAACTGGTGACAGCAGTTAATAGGTTAGGTCACGGCTACCAGTAAGACATACAAAAGTTCTGCAGAACCCCCATTAGAAGAGGAGAATGGTCGTCTGCAAGCACCCCCAAACTCAGAAATCTGAATGGGGGCAGTAGAGAGGAGGAGGCCACTTTGTGCCATGGGCAGACCTCCAAACCAAACGTGAACCCAGAATCTGACACCAACTCCTTGGCCTGCTCCAAGGCTTTCCAGATTAAAGATATGCAAATGCATATGGTTGCTTTCTCCAAGCCCATTTTTACATTTTTTTTACATGACTGAAGTGGGAAGAAAACTTAATTTCAATATTCCTTACGTAATAGTTTCATTTAGGAAAGAATATATGGTAAGTGTACAAAGCAAGAATTAGCAATTATTTTCCTTTCAGTCTTAACTTTTGTTCACTCACTCTTATCCCTCATTTATCAAAATCTCACAAACTACCCGAAAGAAATGTAGGGCTTGGTGTAGTCATAAAAACCTGTAAAAGCCACGGTAAATTATTATTTTACCTTTCGTTAAAGACATCAGGACTCATTGCTGTTCAGACATCATATACAATGTAAGAATTTGGAACACTGTATACATTTATGAGGTTAAAAAGTATTTGTTAGTTTTCACATTCTTGAAGAAGCCAATTAAAAAGTTATTCCCTTTTGCGAAAAAGTATCATATTTAATTCCACTTTGCTTTGCCCACCACTGCTCAGCAATGCCTGGGTAACCACATGGTGAGTAACCACACATTGGTTGCAATCATCTATTCACTATCTTGACCTGGTTCCTGGAATGTGGCACACTTAAAAAGGGCTCTACCCACATCCCTGATCTATTAGCCCTAGTAAGTCCTGAGTTAGGGGGGCAAGGGGTCTGGGTAAGACACAATTCCAGACTTACAAAGAACTTTAAATGGTGCTCTGGTGCCCCTGGAACCTGGCTTCCCTGGAAAGAAGGCAGCAAGAGTCCAAGACTAATGGAGTAGACCAGCCAGAAATCAAATCAGGGGAAAGACAAAAAAAGGGCAGCCATAAAAGCCAGGATGCTGCTTTCAAAACACAAATTGACGCCAAAGATCTTTTATAAACCCTCCAATTTTTTTTTTTTTTAAGTTGTTATCTTGTGGGAGCCAGGAGAGATAGTTATTAAAAGTATTTTCCTACGAGAATTTACTAAAAGTCTGTAAGAAGAAAGTTATGTTCAAGCCTAACTCTAACTCCCTTTATTAGTCAACAGTTGACCAAGTCATTAATGAAAATGACACACCACCTGAAATAAACAACAGCCATGTAGAATCTATAGAATCAGTAACTGAAAAAAAATCCCAGAAATGTTCAAGGATTTTTCCCCCTACTCTACGCACTCTTAAAATAGAAAGAGACATTCCTTTAAAACAAAAACAAAACAAAACAAAACAATAGAGTAAATTTAGTGAAAGCAATAGAGCACGACATTTAAATATTGTGAATTTCAAAATATGTATCTTAAAGAATATAGTTCTATGGTGCTGTTTGTGATAAGCCTGTACCAGTCCTATCACAAAAGTCAAGCAACCTGCTGCCCTACAAACACAAATATATATATAGTTTTGCTGTTTCTTACTACAGTTACAAGATCAGCATGCTAACTTTGGTTTGCAGAAAAAAATGTTAAGAAGCAACAGTCCTGGTTCACTATTTGGAAGAAATACTATTTCTGCAGTATAAAAATAACACAGCCATCAATGAGAAAAACTCTTTATAGAAAAGAATAAAAGAATCAGTTGATGCCAAAGAAATTCAAACAAGATAGGGTTAATTCTACATTATCCCCACGTGCCATATCCAGAAATCTAACACTTTTCATATCTTGGGTGCATGAGGGAATTACCATACAGGTTTGTAAAGCAACCCAACCCAAAAGCAAACTGGAGCACGAACCCCGCCCATTTCTTGCATGCCCGCATGCATATTTCCCCAAGAAGCAGAACAAAAAAAAGCCAATCTATGGGTACCTGGTTTCCACGCCTCCTAGAAGGTCTGAGCTAGAGCAAGATTCTTTAGTCTAGAAACTATGCAATATACCCTTAGTCCATCTGCATCATTTCCAATTATCTTAGTTAATAGGTCCCAGCATTATCATACAAACCCCAAGCAGAATGAATGCTAAAATCCTCTCTGGGCGACACCTGACCTCTCTGTCCACTGATGTCATTCCTATCTCATTTACACACTGCAAAAAAACATGGTGGACAATGTTATCGAGGAAGACACACTCATATTGTATAGATTTTACATTGTTCCTCCAACATCTTAGGTCAGCATGTTGCAGACACATAAAACAGAGAAATCACAAGCAATCAAAAACCTGTTATTTAAAAAAAGCAAAATAATGGATCATAATGGATCAGTTCTTTTCATCCACTAGGGAATGAGAGGAGGCAGGAGTCAGCATTAAAAGTAAAAGGCTGTTTCCCCACTTTGAGGCTTTCCTACATGGCTTACTGGCATTTTTCATGTACTGTTACACAGATTCCATTTCTGTGTGCCCTTTTCGCTACATGAAACAAATACAATAAAATTCTCCTACACGACAAAGTGAGGAGGATGCTTTGGAGCCCTCCTCCACGGTCTCTCTAAAGTCCCCTGGCCCCCCGCCCCCTTCGAGAGAAAAGGCAGCCATTCCATTTCTTTGTAGAGCACAGAAACGCCTCCCCACGAGCAGGAGCAGGACTGTGCAGCACCCTGAGGAGGTTTACTCTAGGGGAGTCAAGGCCACTTACCTGTGCCGGTTTTTATTCTTTCGTTTTTTATGGCTGCTGTGATGACTCCCTGAGGAAGTGGAAGAAGCGGCCTTCTGAGGTTTCACTCCCTGCACAGATCCGTCCAGATCCTCGGGGTCCTCCTGGTTGGGCTCGTTTTCCTGATTGTGGCAGTCTGGGGAAGTATCACTTTCTGTCCCACTTCCTGGCTCCCCTGAAGGGAATAGAGCATCAACAGTCTCTTCAGAACATTGTTTTAGTTGTTCTGATCAGCGTTGTCATTGAGTGCCATGAAGTCAATTCCTACCACATGTGACAGTCCAATAGGGCTACCTCGGCTGTACTCCTTAGGGAAGCAGATCACCAGGTCTTTGTCTTGCAGAACCACTGAGACTGAAGCACTAACTTTTGATTAACCTCCAAGCGCTTAGCCACTGTGCCACTAAGGCTCCTTTAAGCACTAATCAAACCAAACCCACTGTCAATTCATGGAGACGCTATAGAACTCCTTAGGATTTCCAAGGCTGTAAACTTTTATTGAGCAGACTGCCTCATCTTTCTCCCAAAGAGCAGCAGGTGGGTTTGAACCAGTGACCTTGCAGTTAACAGCCCAGCACTTAACCCATTACACCTCCAGGGCTCCTTTTCTTGGAGCCCTTGTATGTACAAAAAAACTTTACATTGTAATTGACAGAGAAGATCAAAGCATCAAATTTCCTGACGCTGCTGAGAAACCCCATCATCTGAAAAAGAGGGAAACATGGTCTACAGGAGGTGGACATATATGACTGGGACTGCCTCACTGCATAAAGATTACTTACACGTATGAGACATGAGTGAGATTGACAATCACACGAAAAGCATTACTGAAAACCTGAGCTAAATTTCTAGGATGGGAGAGGTGGGAACACTGCCTGTAGCTGGCCCTGGCTCCTCCCACAAACCACAGAATAAGTCTGTGTTTCCATGAAGAAATGGAGCCCAAGAGGGAGAACGCCACTCCCTGACTGACTCTGAGAAGTCTTAAAAAAGAAGTAACAATGCTCATTAGCTGGCAAGCACAAAGACCCTATTGTAGACTACCTCCTAACCATATTAAATAAATGACAGCAAGCTCAAAAACAACATGCATAAGCATACATTCTAAGAATATGACTACGTACATTTTAGTAAATGCATAGTTGTTTTTTTTCCCCTTGAATTTCTTTACTAAAAGATAAGGCTGAACTATTTACAATAGCAAAAA